CTCCTTCCCCTTCCTTGATTTGTAGTGGGGAAAGGCATTTCCTGGTGATTAATAGCCTGTGGGGTGGAGTTGTGCCAGAGCAGTAACCCTGCCCTTTCACGGACCTTCCGGAAATGCCCTGTGGCTGAGCTGTTTTTGCTACACTCCAATCTTGATGTATTGTCATCTTGAGAGGCATTTCTCCCTTTTCTTCCTTTTCTGTTCTGGTGGCTATTTCTGTGCCCCCCCCCCCCGCCCCCCAATAGAGCAAGTGAGCTAACTCTTTTGCTTTGTTCCCCTTCCTCCCAAGGGAGTTGGCTTTCTCGCGAGACGTCCTCCTAACAAAGATTGGAGAGGATGCAGAAGAGTGGTTGGGCCAGGCTAACCTCCCGGTTAGGCAAGAATGGGGCAAGATGCAGATAGACTTCACAAACGACCTTCTGCTCCTTCTTCCTGTTGGTTCACCCAGCAAGTAAACTGAGTCAGAAGTTCTTTTAGGGGGTTGAGGAAAGGTCACTTGACTAAATCTGGTCAAAGAGAACCAGCTGGCTTCTCTCTTTCTTTCTGAATAACAGAAAAAACAGAGTTGGAAGGGACCTTGGGGTTCTTTTAATCCAACCTCCTGCTCAAGTAGGAGACACTGGACCATTGCAGACAAGTGGCTGTCTGGTCTCTTCTTAAAAGCTGAGAGTGACAGAACAAGTAAAACTTCTGGAGGCGCTGTTCCACTGATTAATTGTCAGGAAATTTCTCATTAGTTCTAGATTGGGTCTCTCCTTGATTAATTTCCAACAGTTACTTCTTGTCCTGCCTTCTGGTATTTTCGAGAATAGGTGGCCTCCCCTCTTCTCTATGACATCCCCTTAGATATCAGAAGGCTGCTATCGTGTCATCCCTGCTCCGTCTTTTCACTAAGACTAGACATACCCAATTCCTGCCACCGTTGTTTGTATGTTTTAGCCTCCAGACCTCAAATCCTCTTTGTTGCTCTTCTCTGCATTTTTTTCCAACGTCTCAACATCTTTTTAATAATGTGATGACCAACAATGGATGTAGGATGCAGTTTCTTTGCCCTTGTCTTACCTGTTGGAGCCCCTATCCTATCTTTGGAATTGCAGTCCTAAGTGTTACTACCATCACTGGGACTGCTTTGGCCTCTACTTTCCACATCCTCTCCAGTTCCTCCACTTTCTTAGACTTCTTCCTCCTGATGTTACTGTCACTTGGTACCACTATGTCTATCACCATCACAGTCTTCTGGTCCTTGCTACTACCACATTGTCTGGTATACATATACCTGAGTGGTGTATAAATAAAACATGAAAACATAAAAACCCTACATAAAGTTTGAAAAGAGTCGAAGAGGCTTTTAATGGGGTTGGACTTCATTCCCCCCAAAACACGTGCTGGATTGCATTAAATACAGCCAATGTTCAGACATTCTTCTTCCTCTTGAATTCTCTTTCGTGGTAGAGTCAAGATGAGCTTATGTGGGCTCCTTAGAAAGCCTCTGGAAGAAACCAGCTCTTGACTTTTCCAGATCTGACAGGTATTTTAGAAAGGAACGTGTGGTTATCCAGAGCCGCATAATTTATATTTTAGTGAAGAAATCACCCATTCTTCCTGTTGCTTGAAGCTGGTCCCTCTCCAAGCCAAACCAAGTTTCTTTCATCCCATTATGGTCCAATTAATGTTCGCGAACCAAGAATAGCATGAATGGATTGGTGGACATCGCTCCAAGAAAGGGCTTATTTTTGAAATCCAAATCCTGAGGCCCATTCAGGAGGGTCTATTCAACGGGGGTAATGGATATTGCAGGCCAAAACTAGGAGCGTGTTTGTGAGCAAAGACCTGCGAAATTGAACTGAAGGGGCTCCAAATTACGCTGGTGTAGAGTTTAAATGAAAACCAGCTGCTCTGTCTTTCAAAAACATTTTTAAATGGTTTTCAAAACATCACCTTGAGGTTGGGTTGAGTCCTGGAGCATCTGCTGGAATGATTAGGGTGTCTCAGTTCCCAAACTTGTAATTTTGGTGGCTTGAGCTTCAGCTACTGGTAGGAATCAAGCTAATCGTGACCATGAGGCTGAATGTCGGTCTCATCCATTTCTGGTAAATTATCCGGCACGTGAGCGAAAAGACTGAACATTTGCAAGCTGAATGGGGTGGGTTTTTGTTGTTGTTCTTGTTCTTCTTGGATTCGGTCCAGCTGCTACAGCCAACAGCAATTTCCATTGGATTTGATGTGACTTGAAATTTGCTTCTGCTTGGCTCAAGCTAAGATAGAATTGGGCACTTTAAAAAAAAACACAGCTTATTTTCCATAGTATGTTTAGCCAATTGTTCAGTAATAGAGAGCCACGTGGTTTGGTGTTGAAAGCATTAAACCAGAACTGGGGAGACACAGATCCAAGTCCCACCTGTAACCCACACAGAAGTTCCTTGGATGACTTGGAAGATGCAGGTTTAAGTCTACACTTAACCACACAGAAAGTCATTGGATGATCTTGGGAGATGCAGATTCAAGTCTACCTTCGGTTCTACAGATGCTCCTTGGATGACCTAGGGAGACATAGGCACCTTTGATTCTACAGATGCTTCTTAAATGACTTTGGGAGACACAGGTCCAAGTCCATCCTCAGTCCTACAGAAGCTGCTTAGATCACCTTGGGAGACACAGGTCCACCTGGTTCTACAGATGCTCCTTGGATGACTTTGGGAGATGCAGATTCAAATCCACCCTCGGTCCTACAGAAGCTCCTTAGATCACCTTGGGAGACACAGGTCCACCTGGTTCTACAGATGCTCCTTGGATGACCTTGGAAGATGCAGATTCAAGTCGACCCTCAGCCACATAGAAGCTCCTTGGAAGATCTCAGGAGATGCAGGTCCAAGTCCACTTTCAGCCACACTGGATCTTCTTGGAAGTTGGATCAGAACTTCTTGCTCAGCCTACCTACTTCACATTCTGGAGGGGAAAAAATGGCAGGAAAAATGATACCCCCTTGAACTCCTGGAGGAAACTCTTCTAACCTCCTAGGAGTAACTCCTTAGTTGGCTGAAAGGAGAAATAAATATGCAACCGTGCCCAAATTCACAAATTCTACCCATCTAAAAAAGAGTTTTACTAGGGTAGAGAGCCCATGGTCATTCAGCCTCCTTCATTACTAACCAGGTTGACTGAAGTTTTCTGAAAAACTCCCGATGGCCCGTTCCTCCTTGACTTCAGGTTTTGGAATTGCTTTCTTAAATCTGAATGCTAGTGAGCAGCCTGATCTTAAGAGATGTTGAATTCACATTATTCAAATTCTTGATGTCTTACTAATTTCAGAAGGCGATTTGACCTCGCAACAGCTCTTGGGCCAGAGTGGGGAATTACTCCTCAGGCTAATAAACGTTTGGTAGTCAAAGCAATAAATCTTCCCTGATCCCTGGAATTTCTAAAAACAGTTCTTTGGGAACTGTTATTATTTCCACTTCTGGGCTGAGCCAATTTGAGCTCCGGGTGGTGAGAATGACAGGAGCTGACCTAGAAAAAGCACTCTGCTGTAACCACTGATTCCGGATTCAGAATCTTTCTCTGCCCCAAACTTTCAAGGTCATACTTTCATAACCAGACAGCAATCTCACAAGATCCCTAATGATTTGATGGTACAGTCATGATACTGTGTGCAAACAATAATATTGTCATAATACTAGAATTATAATTATAGTAGAGTAGAATAAAATAGCATAGAACAAAAAATAGAGTAGAGTAGGAGAGGAGAGGAGAGGAGAGAAAAGAGAATAAAGAACAGAAATAGAAGAGAAAAGAGAGAACAGAATATAGAGAACAGAGTAGAGTAGAGTAGAGTAGAGTAGAGTAGAGTAGAGAAGAGGAGAAGAGAAGAGAAGAGAAGAGAAGAGAAGAGAAGAGAAGAGAAGAGAAGAGAAGAGAAGAGAATTCTTTATTGGCTAAGTGTGGTTGGACACACAAGGAATTTGTCCCCTGTGCAGAAGCACTCAGTGTACATACAAACAACAGAGTGATAGGTCATACATCATAAATCCGAGTTACAATCATTAATCATAAGATACAAACAACAAGTGATAAATCACAAGATAGCAACATGAGAAGAAAGTAGGAAAGATGAGAAATGAGAAAGATAAGAAAAGGTAAACGATAATAGCAACAGCCTACTACATGGGTAAATATATTTAGGCCAAAGACAGTGCTGTGAGAATAAGGTGTACAGAAGAGTGATGGTATGGGAGAAAAACCAACTCTGTGTCTGCTCATAGTACTAATACCTGACGCCACGCTGAGAGTACTTGAGAGGAATTGAAATGTCTCACTTAGGAATTTACAACCCCTTTTCAAGTCACATGCTGCATTTTACAAGGCAATAAATATTTCAGGTGTGGGGTATGTGTGTGTGTCTGCCTGTATCTATGTTTCAGAGATTGGCCCACCAGGTGAGAAGCAGATCCAGTGTGCCTCTTATTCTCCTGATTTCCCTGGGATTAACTATTTCAGTAGTTGGCAGCCAATAAAGCTTATTAAGGGTGCGGATTCCAGGTTTTCCAATCAATCCGGAGGGTTTGGAGCTGTTTTTTTGAAAGGAGATGTGTTCCTCCCTGACTTAGTGCAGTTTGGGCTGGGCGATGTGTTGTGAAGCAGACACAAGCATTATTGAGCAGATGGAGCGATGAATTAGCAACCCCAAACTCTGTGTCCCTGGGAGCCCATCTTAACAAAGACCCTGATTCCTTGGCCCGGAGCTCCGTTATTTAGGTCAGGACAAAAGAGAAAATAAGAACAAAAAAGACCTCCATATGTTTTTGGACCAAGTGCTGATGGTTCTAAGCCAAAGACTGTCTGTACTGTTTTACCTTGAGACACCTCTTTTAATAGAAGAGCCCCAAGACCTTCTGCAAAGCATGTCTGAAAGAGCCACTTCCCAAAGGTAAGCAAAGGAAGAGAGTAATAATGCACCTTATTTTTGGTGATAGGCACCTGATTCTTTTGGTCTTCTCTTCTAGGGCACAGCTTCTGTCCTCCAGCGTAGGTCTGACAAAGAGGAATATGTAGAAGTCGGACGCCTGGGGCCATCTGATTATTTTGGTAAGCTCCATGGAATGGAATGGTTCAGAAACACCAGGAAATATCAGCATTTATCATCCAATTTGCCAAACATGAGCCTTCCTGGAAGTTTGGGAAGGCCGGAAATGGGCCCTTTTCTGGCTTCCAGAGAGCCTTCGGAGCCCGGGGAGGCTTTGGTGGTGCAGGAGGCTGACTAGGCCATGCCCACCATGACCACGTTCACCCGGCAACCGGGCAGACAACCCCTTGCTAAAAATTTTGAAGGCCACCCCTGGTACAAGGTGATGTTAGATAGGCATTCTTTGATGTCCTTTGGGTAGATTATGATCAAACAAAATGTTGATAAGGAAGCAAGGAATAACTCAGAGGAAAAATTGTGGAGAAGACCTTAGCATGGACGACTGAGACGAATCAGACTGGTGGATCAGAAAGGAAAAGGGAAAATAGGTGACCACTTTAAGATGAGCGATCCTTGCAGTCTCAAATTATCCCACTCGTTCTTTCTCAGGATGATGTTGGTGTCTGGCTTTCTTGTCCAATTTGCCAAACAGGGCAGAATAATTGCATACTAAATTCCTGATCTGGAAATCTATACATATAAAAAGCGAAATACCACTCCACGCATCATCACAAAATCTCCAGAACTGTAAAGCCTACAAACTTGAAATTTGGCATGTATGTTCCTCTTGGCTTCTAGGTGCTCACTAAGAAAGGGTTTTTCGAAATGACCATTAGAGCATTAGTATTTCCTATATTATTATTATTAACATGCTCTGATGCTAAGGAGTTCTACTCCCTCTCCCCACCTGGAAAGAAATCTCTTTCAAATGCAAAACACAGTTTTAGTTTCATAGCACAAAGCAGCTTTAGTCCAGAACAGTTGAGCTAAGCCACGCCCAGGCTCCTTGCTGTCTCCTTCTTGCTCACAGGGCAAACACTCTTTCAGTTTCCAAACATCCCTCAATTCTCTCACTCACTGACAGGATGCTAGCCAGATGAATACCGATGGATGCTGGTAGGCAGAGGCAGAATTTCCCCCCCTTATTTTCCTTCTCCAAAGCTACGCCCGACCACATAGTTTTGTAGCGAAGCTGGAGTATCGAGCTAGTAGCTAATGATACGAACTGAGATCAAAGCCAAAGGCATCTTCTCCAGAAGCACAATGGTGACGCTACGTTTTCTTCCCACTTCCAGGGGAAATCGCCCTCTTGCTCAACAGGCCCAGGGCTGCTACGGTGGTGGCCCGCGGGCCCTTGAAGTGTGTGAAGCTGGATCGCCCACGCTTCGAACGAGTCCTCGGCCCTTGCTCCGAGATCCTCAAGAGGAATATTCAAAGATACAACAGTTTCATCTCCCTCACTGTCTAAAGTCCTCTTTGGCTCCTCTTTTACGTTTAAACTTGTGCACTTAAAAAAAAAAGGAAAAAAAGAGGAAACGATCTGTGGTGTTTCATAGCTTTACGAAGGAAAAGAGAGGCACATTTATTTTACGCAGATGTTTTTCAGTGTTGACGTCTAGTGTATTAGATATCCAATCACTGTGTATTGTCAAGAGGACAGCAGGTAGCTGGCTGTCCATTATTTTATGGAATCTTAGATTTTATTGTTTTGCACTTTGAATTACATTCCAGATTTATGTGTCTCTGGTTTCTCCAAACCTCTTATCACGCAAGGTAAAATGTCCAGATCTTTATGATGGAGAACCAGCTTGCTATGTGCTTCAACTTTTATTTATCCTGGTTGTGCTGACAAGCTACATCCAACTCTAACTTCTCTAGAACAACATAGGGTACTCGTTTTGAACATCTCATCTAGCGAGACTACATAACCCATATTATAACTGGGGATTGATGGACACATGGCCCCATGTAGCATTGCAGAACTAAACCCATTAAGACTTCCAAACAAATAGTCATTTTAAAGGTGACCTAAAGTTAAAAAATGATGAAATGCCCAACTGGTAAGAGTAAAATGTCCTATCAACTCAGTTGAGTTTGAACTCAAGATAAAGTCTACACATTTTCTTTGATGGTTTTTGTCTTGGCACTGCTCACAGGCTATTTAAAGTCTATTGAAAGCAAATGGTGAGCTTTGACCTGGAAGGAATTGTGAAGCCCCGTTGGGCATCAAGTCATCCGTCCTCCATCTGGTTGACAATGACTTGAATAAACCATCATGGCCACTTGAGATACTCAGCTAGCACCAAATCAGTGTCAAATTAGTGTCAAGCGGTGTTTTTCCAAGCTTTTAAGATGTGTAGGCTTCAACTTCATACTGGCTGAGGGATTCTGGGAGTTGAAGTCCACGCATCTTAAAGTGGCCACGTTGAAGAACATTGGCATACCTCAGTCAATCAGCCAATCAATCAATCAGCCAATCGATAAGTCAGTCAGTCAATCAATCAATCCATACACAATATTGTAAAATCTGTTTTCTATAAAACGTGTCAGTATTCTATTCTCTGTGTATTTTTAAAGAAACCTTTTCTTTGCAGTTAATGTTTATTTACATGATTCATTTTGCTTATCATATTGTGATACACAGGGGAAACAAAATAATTGTGACTGGAGACATATGTAGTAAATCTTTGATTACTGCCATATGGTTGAGGGCCATTGGCCTCAGGGTATCTAGAGTCTAGGATCTCAGGTCCAGGACTAAGTTTTACAGATATTAAAAGATATTGCAATACAACGATGAAAGAAGGGATACTACCAAAATGGATGGGACTTGCAAAATCAAGTTGCAAAATCCACACAGAATTATTCAGGCATCTCCTCCCAATCCTATTGCATTAGAATTGCATTTTCAAAATTTTCAGCTGGCTGGTGATATCCAGTCAGGGAACATTTAGAGGGTGCCAGATGATGGTCAACAGGATGAAATATCCAGGTTGATGTCAAAATTCTTGAGCTGGCTGGGCATCCATCCTTCAGATCAAGAGAAGAACAATTGTCCATGGAACTTAATTGTTCAACTTTATTCGGCATTGGGTCTATCCTTTCAAATTCTTCGTCCAGTTCTGCCTGCTGCCTGGTCCCCCCCAAAAAAGATTCAGAGAACCTAGAATAGGTGGAGAGAAGGGAACCCTAGATGATCAGGGGGACAATAAACATAATTGGCCCAGGAGAAGTTGTGGGAACTAGATGTGTTTTCCTTCCGAAAAGATAATGGGAAAGGGATAGTAATCTTTTTTTAAGGACGCAGGAGAAAGTCTAAACTCTGTCACCTTAAGAGTGTGGAGCATGGAATCATGGATAAAATTGAGAGGAAAACCACTTCCCAGTTGAATATTAGAAGAAACTTCCTTCTAGTTGAAGATGGGTACCAGTTAAGGAGAGAAGTGATGGGTTCTCTTTTGCGCTGGATTTCAAATGGTTCTTTCTGGCCCTATTAGTACAAGTAGGGCATGGTCTCTTGAACCCTTGGATGCAGTTTTGATTGGATAGTGCAGTATTTTTTTATTTCACTGTGACCTGGGCATGCTTATAATCTTTTGTGGGTTGCATCTATTCTTTGGCCCAGATGACCTTGTAATTGTCATGATAATTCTTCTGATGGAGAAGAAGAAGCCCCTGGAAATGAAACAGCATTCTCTTGTCTTTTTAAGGTGAACCGAATGGGGACATGAATAAAATCCCTGGAACTTCAGAAGTGCTCATAAGTTTATTCAAAATCAAGAAATGCCCCTTAAGGGATTGAGGTAGTTGAGGAGACACATGCTTCATTCACAGGAACAAAGATGAGTTTAGGAAATGTGAGTCCTCGTTCTACGGCGTCAAATGCAAAACACCATCCAAGAGGTGAATTCCATGATCCAATCTGGGTTGGTCACCAGTACCAGACTTTTCATCTTTTAAGCTTTTGGACTTTTGCTAGAGCCCATCTTCAGGGAACTTCTAACAGAGTGTGTGTTGTTCTGTGTGTAGAGCCTGTTATATGTGGCTTTTTAGATGTTGATTGGAGTGTGTTACTTTTAAGTCATTGGCTGTGGATTGCTCCTGCTGTCCAGCCCTCGCCTTCTAAGTACTTGATAGTCTGGTGATAAATAGGAGGTCTATTGACTGATGAGGGTCCTCTTTCCAAAAACTTGGAAGACAAAACCTCTGGTCCAACCTAGATTGGATCTTTCAACATTATCCTGGGACACGTTATATTCGCCTTCATTCGTGGGTGAATTCCATGTTGGTGGTTGGGACAGGCAGCTGAAAGGTACAATTTGACTTCTGCGGCCAACTCCTATCTATCTGTTTGCACAGAAGGAACTCTGGCAGGATGGTCTGGAGGAATAAAGTTCTAGATGTACTTTCATTTGGTTATCTCAGGCGGGTTGATGTACACTCATGGCCTCATTGTTAGGAGAAACAAACATGAATATAGTAGCAGTTCGGTTAATGGAATGCTTCTGAACTTCTCAAGAACATCTTTGTAGGTAGAAGAAGACAGTAGCAAATGGTTCTTCTATCATGTATAGTCTTCTTTTCTTAAGGGTGTTATTTCAGTTGGCGTTCCCTCTCAGCTAAAATCCAGTCTAATTTGCATAGTGTTTTTTCTCCAATCAATCAATCAATACAGTAATGGAAATTGAACTAGGACATAGTAAGCATGTAAGGGGACTCATCTGATCACACTACAACGTTAACTTATTATTATGGTTGGTTGTACGATCAGGCCACCTTTATCCACCTATCAAATCCTTTCCAAGCACCCGGGGTAGGCAGTGGTTGATGTCTGATGGTGTTGAAGGAATCATTGCAGGATGTAAACTATTCTAACTCAAGCTGCCTTTTGCAATTGACCAATGGGCAGATTGTCAATGCCAACAGTTTTCAAGTTTTTGAATAATAAATTATTACTATTATTATGGCTTATCACACAGTCGGCCAGAAGTTTAGATTACATTTGGCATTTTTGTCCACCTATTGAGTCCTTCCCAAGGACCTGGAATTGGCATATGTGGTGGTTTGATGGTGTTCAAGTTGTCATCCGCAGGATGTAAGCTGTTCCAAGCAAAGCTGCCTTTTGCAATTGACCGATGGGGATTTTGTCAATGCCAATGGTTATTATTTTACAAAAATAGGTTGGTGATTCTCCTCTGTTCTTATGGAGCTTGGGAATTTTCTGGTCAGTTTGGGTTGGGGGAACAGCAAATGGAATTCTGGCTGAGTTTGGTAATGGATCCAAGCAGCTTCTTTTCAAGAGCCCTGAGGAGAATGTTCTCTTGGTTGTTCAGCTGAGGGAAAGACAATGCCTTTGTTAGGAGCACACTCAACCTTGTGTTTCCTTTTTTTTTTTTGGTTAAGCCTGAAAGAGCTGGTTCCGGGAACGGAGCCATTACATTGGGTGAAGGAAGACCCTTTTGAGAAATGAGGGGTGGAGAATTGTGAGGAGGCCAATGTGTTATTCTCCAGGCACAAGGCATGCACCTGCCAAGCCATGAAAATGTGGAATAATTACACTTGTGAGAAGAATGAAATGCTACCCACCTTCCAACATCGGTGGCTTGGCCAGACAGCAGTGAAAATCAGGAAGAAAAGACCTATTTATATGCAAACTTTGCTTCTCCAAGAGCAGGTGCCTCCAAACTTGGCATCTTTAAGACCTGTAGACTTCTGCTTCCAGAATTCCTCAGAGAGCCATGCTGGTTGGGGAATTCTGGAAGTTGAAGACCATAAGTCTTAAATTAAGACTTGGAGGTCTTGGAGACATCTGCTCAAGGGGAATGCTACTTCTCTGGAGGACATCATCACCTCAAAATATTGGAAGTAATGTCAACCGTAGGAATTGGATCTCCCCGGCACCTGAAGAGGACGCTCAAAAATTTCATTTCTGCATTTTCAATGATAGTGCAATAAAATCCAGATAGGCACATCCTCTTTGGCAGGTGAGTAACTAGAGTCTGAGAAAGAGGTTTTCCTCTGGGGCTCACTTGGAAATAAAAGTGAATTTCAACCCTTCCAAAGTCTTTAGGTAAAGAATGACAGGATTAAACAAGAAGTCAGCTCGTACGCTTGCAGCTTGCCAAGGAGATTTATAATAAGATTAGCTGGATTTTCTGCATCAAAAACTCGGTGGTATTGATTTTTGAGCATTAACCACAAATTCTGCTTTTCTTCGCTTCTGATATCAATAATTGCCCTAGGCTAAGAAGAAATTAATCCAGAGAACTGGATTACTGGGTACGGCAAAATTACTTGAGAAGGCAACTTTTAGTTATATAGTATATTTAGTTATATAGTATAAATCCTCAACTTACAACCACAGTTGAGCCCAACTTTTATGTTGTTAAGTGAGGCATTTGTTAAGTGAACATTGTCCCATTTTACAACCTTCCTTGCATCCATTGTTAAGTGAGTTGCTGCAATTGA